ATTCGCAAGTAATGCAATCCAACCAAAAAATTCTCCAACACAAGATATTTATTCATTTAGATATTTTAGACAATTACTCCTTGCTACTGGCCTTGCGAAGTGCATCGAGTAAATTGTTGGTACGAATTCTGATGCCACGTGACAAAATTTATGGTAAAATCATTCTGAAATTATGGGGAAGTTAATCATTTTTGTTATCATTTTCTAAAATGATTTATTATTATTAATGATTAATTTTGAAACAATGATTAACTGATTAATCATAAGCACGCCCTATTACTTATCGCAAATGACGCGATCCTCGCCTCTGATTTGGTGCTTTGGGAAGAAATGCACGGAATCGACACTCTCGCTGCAAAATAGAATCCAATTGAAGCAGAGGGTGTCACTTCGACTTGAAAAGGCCAACTGCACCCAGCAATATTGCCATTCGGCCTGCGGTTCTGATCGATGAATTTTGATGCATCAGATATTTTTTTAAATTTGTGGGTAAGGATAGCAAAATGGAGCTAAAGAGGCGGTATAATTATTGCGTTTACATACTGTAGGCAAGTATTTGAAGAACTAGGAAAAGGGAAAGCCGTAAAAACGTAGGAAAAACAAGGGATCACGCCTTTATAACCCTCGAGAGCCACAGAAACCAGGAAAGCCGAAAGGCAAGGCACCGAAATCGCAGGAGGAAAGCCTTCCGAGCGATTCCTTCTCCGGACCCAATAACCCAACTGCTGCATAAAGTGATCTTAATTGGGGGGGGAGGGGGACACACTCACTTACATGGGACGGTGAAGATGAATCCAGCTATTTTGAGGAGTGTGTCTGAGGAATAAGCGAAAGGAGACGCCCTCCTCAGGTCAGGATTTCTGCACCAGAATGAAAATCCACCCAAGTCGCCGAGTGAATGCCATTCCCAAAGATTCTACCCTCGTCCTCGATTCCGAGGCGTATTTCCCTCGCGTGCTATTGGTTGAGTCAAATGCTCATGCTCTTGGATATCGATAAGGTCTATAATAATCAAGGGCTGTTGCTATGGTGTATAAGTAGCAGGTATCAAATACATTTGCATAGCGGGGGGGGGGGGCTAACCTCCCCCCCCCCCCCCCCCCCCCCCCCCCCAGGCAGGTACCAAATACATTTCGTGGGGGGGGGGGGGGCCTCACCCCCCCCCCCCCCCCCCCCCTCTCCACTGTTCCGCCTAGGACTAGCCCATATTTTTTAGTTTCTCCCTTTTTGGGGGAAACGAAAAATCCTTTATAGGAAAATCTTTCAATCTTGCGTCTTGCTTCATTTTCGAATAATTGATTTTTTTTCCCCCTCTGGTCTACCTTTTGCGTTTGTGACTTTTATATTTTTTCCTGATTTTCTCGTTACGAGGAGCCAATAGCCTGCATATCCCTAGGGCTTTCGTGTTGGGACAATTTTTTTTTTCCCAGAAAAGAACCGATTTCATTCCCCCCCCTGAAATGTTCGTTACTTTCCTTCACAAAGCGATTGCGTTAGTCCTCACAGGATCTGAAAAGGTCTGAAAAGGATTCTCATCGCAATGTTCTGAAGTATGCAGTGTCGGGTCTGACGGCGCAATCAAGAATTCGACGACGAGGAAATGGAATTTAAAAAAAAAAAGTGGCCTTTAAGGCGTCGAAGGAGAGAAATGTGAGCAATGTCCTCGAAGGAGAAAAACGTGAGCAATGCCGAGACTCCATACAAAAATTTACATTTTATGAACTCGGAATGACTGTCGCTTTTTATTCAGACAACCTAGACACTTGAAACTTTAATTAAACAAATTTCGTAGTATTTCCGATGAGAAAAAAAAAACAGGAACCTAGATTTTCCACAGTGGGTTTCATAACGCGTCAAACCGGATATAGTAATTTATTTTTCCGGATATAATTTTTTAATAAATAGTAATTTACTTATCACAAGACTGTACGGACGCAAGGCAATGTCTCTCACCGGCAAAAGTAATTGGGATATTCGCCGGCCCGGTTTGCAGCTCAAAGTTCTAATCTACATGGGGAACGGGGGAGGGTTTTTTTTTCCGGGAATTCGCCCGAGAACCTTAAAATTATTTATATTTCTTTTCATTTCTATTTCGCATTTCTATTTTTTTTTTCTACAGTCTCTACTCTCAGTCTCAGCTCGACTCTTTCCTTTCATCGCTTGACGAGGCATGCGAATGAACAATAAGGAAAAACCGCCCAAGCTGTGAATGTAACCACCGGCGCCCAGCACGTTCCACTAATCGAAAAAAAGCTTCCCACAAAAACAATACTCATGGGGATTAAAACAGGCAGGAATCCCAAAGCGCCAAATCGGGACAGCACGGAGGACGTTTGGAGCACTGCGTTCCCCATATAAAGTGACCTCCATCTTCACACGTTCCTCTCGCTCGTGCACGCATTGCCATTCATTCCTTTTCTGGTGGATGTCCTCGCGGTCTCGGTGCAGGCACATCCATCGCAGCGGGTTCAGTTTCTGGTCCATAACGACCTATGCAATAATAAACTCAGTGGCGCTACCAATCACGTGTGGCGGTATTATGTGTCCATCAGAAAAATGCGAGAAATATTTGAACAAGGTGTTCCGAAAATTGCAATATCCGATTGCAATATCTGAAATCTGATTAATTTCCGGGGGAAAACAGTATTTCATATTTGAATCCCATCCTATTTGTCAAGCAGCTTGACTTCACCGAAAGGGTCTTTAAAATAACATATAACTTTCAGTCAAAAGCAGGGCTGAAATTAAGTGAGGGAGCAGTCAAATACGCAAATTATCTCATCCAAAAAATTCGCGACCGACTATAAAAGTCCAATGTAACCTCTTCAATTCAGTTACTCCTCTGCAGATTCAACACACGGATCCCTTCAAAGAAGTACTTAATTCCGAAAAGAACGATCATCAATTTCATTGCCCTAGAGACTCAACTCCGTATTCCAAAGAATCATCTCTTCATTCTGGTAAAAGTCAAACAACACAATACATCAGCAAACTGCATAATACACCTTGGAAATCAAGGTCATACTCGAATATTCTATCACATAAATCACACCATTGTTGCAAATGTTGGGAGCAATACGTTACAAGCAATGCCTTACAAATGCTCCACTACAGACGAAGTGTAAGAGGAACTATGCGTAACGGCGTGAAGTTACTTAGCGGAAAGACCACGAATTCGACGTTTCGGCCTCCGGCAGTTTTCTCTGCCAATTTGTCAAAATTCGACCATGACGTATCTTGGGGAAAACAATTTTTGCAATCAGCTTTGCACATACGCATTGCATTCTACAATCGGTACGACTAGAAGTCGGCTAAGAACATCAAAGGCCTCTCGCCTAGTGCAATCTGTCGCGAGATCAACAAATCGGGCAAGGCTCAAGTCCAACAGAGAGCCTCCATTGAGCGAACCGTCGTGATCGATACAATTGGTACAATATGAAGAAAGAAGGGAGGGGACAGGAAAACAGCCATAAATAACCATATCAAGAAGTTTCCTTTCTCATGAAATCGACGAGGGTGAATTCCCACATTTCAGCACCCAACCCTCGGTAACGGTTTTCCACTACCTCTTCCTCATATTCCCCCCGAGACATTCTGCTACCAAAAAAAAAAATTCACCACGTTCTCGCTAATTTAACAGCAAATAGGGAAGAGAAAATAGATAGAGCTCTCTATTGCTCCGTCAGAAAATGAAAAAAAGATTTCGGGGTAAAGGCCTTCAACGACGAGCCGAACGGCGTACTCTGCTCTCTTCTCCGTTGTGGAACGCATTTTCTAGCATATTTTACATATGTTTTTATTTATGACATTTAGCACCTACCTATTCTCAAGTCACGCTTTGTCTTCATAAACTGGTACTGACTGGAAGCACCTCATATTACCATTTATGGGGTAAGTCAAATCCCAACGTCCCATATTCAAGAATAGCAGGCGAGTAGCCCCCCTAAAAAAATGTATGTCCAAAACCAATCGGAACTCTCATGAAAGTCTTTCCCTAACATTGCACTATTGAATCCCAAAATCGGAAAACTATAGAGAGGGATCGGTCGGCGCTCGATATTTGTCGATGGAATACCCGAATAACTGGAAATCCTTGTCGTATATATCGATGAGCCCTCGAAGGACATCTACCGGAAGACTCGAGACGATCCTGACGACATCCTCCTCTTTCGTCTTGTTGGAGTGCCTCCCTTTGTTCTCCCAGCGGGGACGAACCAGGTCCGAGGCCCCGATCTTCTCGAACAGGTATGTCTGGTCTCGGTCCAAGTCCTCCATTTTCAGGATCATGTTCACGCTCACCTAGTGCACGAATAAAAGACGGAAGAAAAGGCGATAAAAAAACTATCTGAAATCCACCAACCGACTTCAGGGGCGGATCAAAGGAGGGGGCGGCCAGGTCAGCATTCTATTATTTTAATTTTTAAATAGCTTCTACATTACATTTTATCGGGGCCAGTGAAATAGATATTCACGTTTTTATCCCAGACGAAAAATGAAAAAGGCGATAGGACGGGGAGTGGTGGTAGGAACTTGGGAACCCCCCCCCCCCCCCCCCATATGAAAAATTTCTGAATCCGCCTCTGCCTTAATGCAGTTTCTCCACCCGACGAAGTCCTCAAGCCTTCCCTAGGAATTGAATTCCCAAGACCATTGAATACCAAACAAGTCTTTTTCCATTTGCCAGCGAATCCTGCTCACTTCATTTCCTGCTTAGAGCCGTCTCTCTCGCTTTCACATGGTCCGAAAATCGAAGCATGTGTGAGCTTAAAACGCACGCGGACTGAAAATTTAGGAAATCGACAGCGGCTGGCTGCGGGCTCAGAGAGAAAAACTCGAGCTCACGAGTTGAAAGAGAATTTTCGACCGAGCAAACAAGAGGAGGACCATTTTCGTCTTTCCTTTCCCCTTCCCCAACGTTATTTGCTTCTCGAACTCCGGAACCAGGTCGATAAAATGTGAAGAGACCCATCTGCAGCGCGAACTGGGCCAAAGGACGAATGGGCCCATAACTTTATTATGGGACTTCTACAGCCTGGACGTTTCCTCGCGGCTGTTGACGCAATCGATTTCGGATTATATACTTCATTGTGGTAATGGTTTCTTTCATGGAGTAGGCGGTTCTCCGAAATGCGCGTTCGTGTTAGATCAACGGAGCAGAAAAAGCGGGAAATCCCCTTACGGGAGTTGGCCTGGCACAGCGCGAAGGTTGGCCTGGCACAGCGCGAAGGTTAGCCTGGCACAGAGCGAAGGTTGGCCTGGCACAGAGCGAAGCAGGTCGGAGCATGCGAAAAATGTATGCATTGATCCAACCTCTGCATCATCATGGAGATAAGACGGGGCACAATCGGTTCTTCAAAGAACGAATAAAATAGGGTTTCTGGCTCATTTACCCAGCCAAATCCTTTCCTGCCCTGAGAGAGCTTCGTTTTGACGCTTGAAGGCCATTTCTCATGTTTCCTGCGCATCATGCGTTCACGCGCAGAGTGAGAGCCCGAATGCGCGCTGGCCTCCGTAAGGAGACTGTCTCCGGTCTTCGAACAAAAACAAACCATTTCAAGTCTGCCTCTTCCTTCGACGCTCAACCCTTTTATTGCCCCGGGAACTATATATAGTCGATGAAGCCTATGGATCGGCCGCGTGACAAGAAAAGGGTTAAGAGTCGAGCCCCGACTCGACTCAAAGGGGCCAATCTTTTTTTTATTTATCGCTGCTGACAAGAAGGACCAATAAATAGATGAGCTCGGTTCCTCCATAATTCATGAAAGTGCTTGAATCTGTTGACGTGCAATAGCTTTCAAGACACACAAAAAGCCCAAATCTAAGAAGAAAAAAAAAACATTTTTAAATGGCTTTCACGATTTCGAAAAAGGAGCCGGCAAGTGCGACTGCCGCTGGTCGTTAAAATCGCAAATGCGTGAAACGGATCGAACTTCCGACTTTCTGAAATCCGATGAATTTCCTCGGAAACGGATTCCGCGATCGCAATTAAGTTGCACGGGTCCACTCACCAGTGCCAATTTCATTCAGCAGCCACTTTTCAAAATAGCAAATAGAACATTTCCTTTTGAACAATTTTCGAAATTGTTGCTGAATTCAAATGAGTCGTTCTTTGGTGGATTCTGGTTCTCTCCTCCTGGAAGAAATTATTCAGGCCGCTTTCTCCACCGTGGGAAATTATCCCCGCATAAATCAAAACCGAACAAAAAAAGAATGAATGGAACTAATTCCCCTAAGCACCATTGCGTGCCGTGAATTTCCTGCCCGAGCACGAACTCTTTCACGCACCACCAATCACATTCCATTACGACAAAATGATTGATTCTTGCATCAAAAAGTGAGGAAAGAAACGTCCACCGTTCGGGGAAAAACGTCCTCGGCCAGATGGCAGACGTCAACTCGAAACTGATATATGATCGTGGCAGCATTTACATTTTCGTTCCCTCGGAACAGGTGATTATTATGTGCTCACTCGTCGACTGACCCTCCGACCAACAACGACCGCTTTTCTGTGTGGGACTTTCCTGCGGATCCGTCTGCCGTGCTGTCGGAGAAACTTAGAGGCTTGAAGGAAAACTCTGAATTTCGCAAGAAAACAGTCGACAACGTTGGCAACTTCTAAGGAGACTCCTTCCCGTTTGGACGTGAATTACTCTTTCTAAAAGGAAATTTATCATTTGTCAATTTTCTCTAATTCTCTTTCGAGCTGATTTGCCCAATCCGCTCCACTTCCTGTCAACAATAGCCAAGGCCTTCGAAGGCAAAAATTGGACTTCGTCCGAAGGCAAATTCAAGAGATAATGAGTATTTGGCATATCAATTCGGGAGAGGATGCGAAATGAGAAAAAAAAAGTATATTTTAGGAATAAGATTTACCCACCTGACACGGCGTGCAAAATTGGTAGTACGGAATCCAGTGCATGTCCATGTTTCCACGGCGGTTCTGCACCAGGATATAACGGACGAATTCCTCAAAAGTGGGTTTTGCGTCTGCCGTCCGGCTCCGCAGGGCCAGCTTCTCCGCCAGCGAGAGACTCCGGTACTTGAGAATGATCTGCCGACCCATCTTGTCGTGGGGGCTTCCCTTGAAAGCGTCGAGGATCTTGTCCTGATAGGCGGAGTAGAGCCTCTGAAAGGGATCCCGGACGATGAGGAAGACGATGGAACCTCCATCCTTCTCGGTGGCAGCCGTGAGATCCTTCACGGACGGTCTGGGATAAAGCTTCCTCGCCATGGGGATCATCGTCTTGTCTTTCTTCAGCGTCTCTTCGATCTGTTTTTCCGTCAGGGCCCCGGACATCAACAGAAAACTGTACATCATAGAAGATGCACCAGCCTGCAAAGAGAAAAAGCGACATAAGATTTAAAGTGCTCTTAGTCTTTTGACCTTAGTCATCTGGATCTTTATCACTTGACCCACTTGGAGGGAAAAGCAGAACCAAAAAAAAGTATGAATAATTCAATAAAGCAAAAATGCCCAAAAAATAAAAATTAAGAAGCATCAAAGCTTCATCGGTTATCATCTGAGCATCATATTTCACAACCGATCCAGTAGCTGAACTAGGTAACTCAAGTCAGAGTCCATACACCGCTCCGCTACATGCGTGCAAGAACAATCTACCTAATATCGTCCTTCAAGAACAATCTACCTAATATGTACCTAATATCGGCCTTCGGGTGCATTTGGCACGAAAGAAGGAAATGAATAAAAATAATATTTGGCGGCCTGTGCATAGTGTCAGTTTTGTTCCTGTAATTGTAGTCCAGTTCACATTTGCTTGATCATGAAAGCAAAAAACCTTGAAATTGCACTTAAAAACTGCACTTACTGAAACAGAAACTTACAAAACTGAAATTGCACTTACTGCATAGTTCCTTGGGCAGCCGCGAGAAGTACATATCGTCCGATCGCCTCTTATCTGGGTGATGCTTTCAAGGTTCATGAGTAACATCTTTTAGCATTCGTATTAAATAAATCTGATGACCCCACGGCGGGGAGACTTCACGATCTAACGACACGTGGAAAGGAGCTCGAGTAATTGCCTCAAAGATGAATACGAGATCGCTCCTAATAGAAGCCTTTGCATATTCCGGTTAAACTTTCCGATTGCGCCGGCACTCCGAGGATAACGACGCGATTGAATGGCTAAATTTGCGGTGCCAACCGCGAGGGAGTGAAAATCATTATAATTTCCTCGCCTCGGTCGGCCTATGAGAATCCATCCAGTTGCCATGCAGGCGTTTTTTAATGAAGTCCTGGCCTTGCCTATTTGCCTTACGCTGACGTGCTATTGGATTTTTACTTCTTTTTTTATTATAATGAATTCCATCGCCCGGCCGATTCCATTGTGCTTGAATGATGGATCGGCACGAAAACCGTTAAATTTTCCAGAGACCTTTCCGGTGACCCCCCAGGCCTTCGAGCGCGGCCGAACGGGACTGAACTCGGTCGGACCGATCCAGCCCGTACTGGAATAGTACTCGGACCGTAACGCCGTCGCAACATGAGAATCATGAGACATGAGAATCATGTGACATGAGAATCATGTAAGAATTGCCAGTCAGCGGGCGAGGATTCTGGTCGAGTTCAGCCTCGAAATTCGTTGCAACAATGAGGATAAATAGAAATAATCAAAAGTTCTATTTCCCGCTGATATTATAAGCTAACTTATCTCTGTATCAGCCTGATTAAATAAGAATTAAAAATATAAAAATAAAAGAGTAAAAGGCTTGGGTACTGAACTGAGCAGCTGGAACAAGCACCTGGCTGGTTTTCAAACTATTGTTTGACATGTTTGAAAAATTGTGCAAATCCTACATGCATCCTGTATATCCTCGGATTTGCGTTCTGTCGTAAACAAGAGCTCATAACGTCCTCAGACCCGAGTAAAATGAGAGACAAAGGACTTGGCACGTCAGAGGTGAGACTTGACTCAAGTCCTGAGAAAAGTCACGCTTTGTGGGCTAGAGGCGAATTCAAGCAGATAATGAACTCGAATTTCGTTGCGAGTTTTTCAACAAAGAACCTAATAAAATAATGATTTGTGGTATTCCCATATTTTTTTACGAGATCTATTATTTCTGGCAATTGATTGGAAGCTGCAGGCTTACCTTAAAAATGGGACACCAAACGAGGTGGAATTTCTTGTTGATGTAGTACTCCCAGGGGTTCGGTTTCAGGTACTTCTTTGCCCCTCTCTTGTCCAGGCCGAATTTTGAGCATTTCTCTCTCATCTGAACTACTCTGGAGCTCAACTCTTTGGTAATATCCTGCACGGCAATAAAAGAAACCTCAAATTAGTAAACACACAAGTATACATCACCTTAATTGTGTTATTTACATGCATCGCCCCATCGAAGAGAAGCTCAATGCGTCACAAGATTACATTCGGACAGTCATTAAACAATTAGCTACAAACAATTAGACAGCCATTAAACTATTAGACAGCTACAAACAATTAGACGAATTTGGAATCTGCACGTGTGGAGGCTCTCGGGCAGAAACCGGCAAATGCGGCAACGCGGACGACGTACCTGTGGAAGAGGTACTGGTGCCCGTCTTGTAACTGGGGGACGTGTCATCTCCTCCTTCTCCTCCTCATATTTCTGCAAGAGGAATGATAATCACTGATAATCAGGTACCTTTCCTAATTATCACCTTTCTCTCTCTCATTCCACTGCAATCGAAATGAATATAAGGGAAGGAAAGCCGCATCGTTTTTTCCACCTTCAATTCTGTATTTATGGGATTCGTTTTTTTTAATATTTGTTTTCCAAATAATCATTCATCTAAAATATCTCGTTTTCAATAAATCTTGGCAGATATAGCTAAAGATAAAGCAGATGAACCGCTTGAATCTGAATAAACCATTCAAAATAGTTCAGCCCATTCAGACCTCACGAAAAAAAAATCCAAACTGGAAAGAGGCAATGATTCAAGGGAGTTTCCATTCGAAATGTATGCTGAATGTATGCTGAATGTATGCTGAATGAGATTCCTTTTATCGGGATTTCCTCACTCTTTTTTTTGGTCTCAGGGCGAGAGGAAAATGAAAACAGTCGGGGAGAAGAGAACCCTGCCGTTTCCCTCTTTTTCTCGCGGCGGCCTTTCGTTTCGATTAGTCCATTAGTGTCCGTTGGCTCTCGCGAAATGGCAAGTTCCAGAATTGCTGGAAATGGCAAGTTCCAGAAACTGTTTGCAAAATGAATGTGATGGCAGTCGCCGCTGGGCTCAACCGATCGGGCTAATCGCATCCTCTAAAGCAATTAAAATTCAGCCCGGATCGCCTCCAAACTCTTTCGACTCCCTTTACTTTCCTCTAAAAGATATTATCGCTTGCACCAGCGAATATAATGCTCTCTAGAGTATCACACTCGCATTACTTAATGAAAGCCCGAACAACTCTCATTAGTCTCCGGATCTTGTCCATCATTGATACAAATAATTGTAACCAATCTGGAGCTGCTCGACAGAGTGCAATATTCTAAATAGGTCGTGGGTGGGAGCTTTCAAGACTTCACTAATGACCCTCAATCAGCACGGAGATTCTCGAGAATTGACGACACGGTGACGCAGGCTCAAAAATCAATTGATCCACGTCATCGTGATCTCGAAGACCCTCTACAGTATTAATGAGCGAGTGAAGAGAATGCGGATACGTCCGGGAAGCTGACAGATTTTCGAGTGGAAAGACATGCTCCATTAAGACTTGCTTCATTGAGTTACGCTTCATTAAGTTATGCTTCATTGAGTTATGCTCTACTCCAAGCGAAAATCGATGTTCATGGACCGAAAGCGGCATCGATACGGATAAACGGATAGTCTATTCCACATGCAATATGCATACGACAATCGAAGACTCGTGTGTGCCCATGATGAAAATTGCAGACCATACCATCGAGTTTATCACAGGTCGTCGTTGCACCCTGAACAGAGAGACAGGGAGAGCCCCATGCACGCTGGTGTCACCATTGCCGGCCAGCGAGGCGATGGAGATGAAGAGGAACGGAAGGAGGACGAGGACGAGGAGGAAGAAGATCTTTGGTCTCCTCAGCCACCATCTTACGTAGGATGGCAGCCATCTCACCTTCATTTTCTCTCATTCTCTTTCCTGAAAGAGACGATAAAGCTCGGAATGATGCTCGAGCAGCTTATTGTCCGTCTAGTCCGTGCTGAATTTCTCATCGCTGATAACAGTATCTACACTTGATTTCAGCAACATAAAGCAGAAATGATGGTGCAAAAAAAAAAAGATCCCCCCCCCCCCAACTTCTATGATAAAGTGAGAATCGCGATAGCTTCAGGCATCACTACTTACTGCTATCGAAGTGAGAGATGTGATTCTGCATTCTATAGCCGGCCGTCCGTACTATGTCATTCCGAAAATGAAGGCAATCAAATAAAAAGAGGAAAGGAGGGAAAGAATTTATTGGAATCTGTAGGAATAGCAGAATGCTCATTGGGGGCACGGTCCAACAAAGGAACACAATGTTCTCAGTCTTTTTTTTTTCTTTTTTTACCCACGAGCTGTTAGGCGATGATGGTGCGTGACTGAATGACTGTCGGTTCACTGTGCCCACAATTCGCGTTCATTTCGCGACCACCGCAATTGCTCGCTGTTCTGGACAACTTGCTCACACTTGAAACGCAACGAGTGCACCGTGGAAGTGGGAACGGCGAGGACAATCGCTTACTTCGAGCCGTCTGCCAAGAAGAAATCATTTTTCTGGTGAGATTCGCGCGCGAAAGGCCTCGCCACGATGCTTGGCACGGTGCGAAAGAGAGTGAAGGAAAAAAAAAAGTCCATTTACTGGGTGGATTAACTGGGAAGACTAATTTACTGGGAAGACTAATTAATGCGTCGCAAGCCCTTTGCCGTTGGCCAAAGCTAAGAGTGGGTCAATGCATATTTATGGTCCCTGGTCGGTGAGATGAAGAGCACAGGGTTGGATGAAGAGCACAGGGAAAAGAGTTGTGAATCGCACAGATCGGGCACGGAGGCAAAAAAATTGGGAAATTAGCATTAGGCGTGGAAAATGAACTTGATCTGCATGCAAAATTTATGGAATAATGCTGACTTGAGAGACAGTGTCACGTGCAATCAGAATCGTTTGGCGGCACGAAGAGTTGGTGAAATTCCAACGGTCAAGAGATGAGCTTACAATTCTTTTTTTTCATGTGGTTGTCTGAACGCGAGTTCTCATTGAATGCATAAATTGTGAGTTTTTTTCAGAATGTCAGTTTATTCACAGCCACAGGTTGCATTATGCACAGCAACATTGTGCATAATGCAACACTCCATCCATTCATCCCCGTCAATCTTGTGGGGTCCCCGATGAAAAAGCCTGAGCGGGACCGTGTCCCTCATGAGGGCCCCTCATGAGAACTCTATTCACTCCTGCTCCCATGCCTCCTTTCCCGGCAATCTCTCTTTGCAATTTTCTTCATTTTTCCAGTCATATATTTTGGTCAGCCGGACTTGAGATGCCGAATCACATCGCGCCATTTGCTACAAATTATGAATATCAAGCATGCACGTACATACAAAATATATACCTTTATATACCATTATGTTTGTAACGTCTACCCACTTTAATCGATTAATTAGTCGACAAATCGATTAAAGCTTCAAAAACGATTTTTTAATAATAGAATTTATTCGACCTTCGATTCTTCGCCTAAATGCCTGCTTTTCCTTCCTTTTCACTCCGTAGTGAAAAGGCAAAGCTCTCTGAATTTTCCAAAGTGGTTCCGTCTCACTCCTGAGTGGTTCCGTCTCACTCCGGAGTGGTTCCGTCTCACTCCGGAGTGGTTCCGTCTCACTCCGGAGTGGTTCTCGTTGCCCCTAACGGTTGCCATACGTGCGGGGAATCGGGTAAACGCGATAGGACGTCCAGCATGATGGGAATAAATGATGAGATGAATCCCGCATGGACTCCTTTGGCACCCGGACGGCAGCGCCTAAAAAATGCGCTGAAATGCAGGACGGTAATGGCAATTCCCCGCCGGAACACGACTTTTCGTTTTCCGTTTGGGTCTGATAATTCTTTTCCTCCTTTTGACTTTTTTTTTCTCTCTCTCTCCGAAGTCGAGATGGCGCCGCTTATCGAAGACTCGAATCGGTTCGATCTCGCGATTGTTGCTCAGTCCGGGCCGATCACGCGATTTCTCGGTATCTGTCTTTCCCTGGAATGCTCTTATCCCATCCATTTCCTGTTAGTAAATGCCGGACTGCGGCTCTCCTCGACTCAGATTGGGCCTGTTTTGGTGGACGCGGTCCAACTTGAAGCAGGGAGATAATTCCGGCTGGATGCCCAGACGATGCCCAGCGGATGCCCTAATGGCAAGCCTTCCATTTCGCGCTCTCAGACAAGGAAATCAGGAAATAAAAGTAATTCCCAAACACGATGGGTTTGCCGAGCTTAATGCATCGCAGAATCGATAGGGGGGCGAGGGTGACCCCAATACAAAGATCACGACGAGCGATCAGGGCGAGTGGGGCAGAGTGGGGCAGAGTCCCCACCAAAAGGCGAAAGGAGAGTGGGGCAAAAGGAGGATGGACTGTGTCTCGCTCACTCCTCCATGTAAGTGCCCTGCGAAAGAGTGTTTTCCCTCTTCGATCCTTTCATGCTCCTCTTCTATCCTTTCATGCTCCTCTTCTATCCTTTCATGCTCCTCTTCTATCCTTTCATGCTCCTCTTTCACCCTCGAGGCTGCCAGGATATGACGAAAGAAAGCGCTTCGTTAGCACCCTCGCCCCCGCTTCGTCCGAATCCGTCGAGGAACGGCTCGATTTCGCCGCGGGTTTTTTTGGGGCCGGCTGTGCGGGAGGGCAAAGAAAGCTCGCAATCGCTTTCAAATGGCTTATCTTGCGTTCACCACATTTAGGGAGGAGAGCATGAGCTCGATTAAAGGACTCACGATCAATCGACATTTCATTTCAAGCGATTGGAAGCCCTGATATGTATCCTTTGAAGTATATAGGAGGATGAAGCCAAAAAGTTTCCCAACTTTTTTTTTAAACGAAGCATCCACCGCGTCCCTTTTGGAAATATTTAGGAAGATTATATGCCATCTGGCAACCCTGATTGTTCGCAAAAGTCCCATTTCAGGGATGAGACACGTAGATCAGCTCACACCGCTATAGACTTGGATGAAGTGCCTCCACCGCGAGTTCCGAGCCGCTCCCGATCACTTTCCCCGCATCACCGGGACCCACTCCCAGGACTGAAATCCCAGGACTCATCGCTTCCGACTCCATCATCACTTCCGACTTCGTCATCACCACGGACCCAAAGGTCGCCGAACAGAGCGCCGAGTGCCAAAAACGGCCCGCGTGCAAAAAACGCTCACCGGCGTCGAGGGATTCCAAGTGCCGATCGGACGGCGCAACCTGCCCCGGAACATTCCTTACTCCTGGTCATCGATTTTCTCATCAAACAATCCATTACACTCGTGGTGCACACACCCAGTTTCCTTGATGGAGCCCCATGTGACTCCTATTTGCTGGCGTACGAAGCAAATTACAGGGAGGGTAATTTTCGTATAATTAGCGAAGTGGTCACGACAGCACGATCCTGGCAGGTAAGCGAAGGAAGGTAATTAGCTAATTCGCTAATTAGGGCTCAATAAGAAGAAATTCAGAAACATTTTTCCTCACTCAAGTAGGATTCTGCCACGAGTTTGAAGGACCTGAAATGATGCAATCCTGGATTATCTTGGATTATCCCATCCCTCCGTTAGCATTCTTAGGGGGAATGCGCTCGATTTGTGGATTGTATCCGGAGAAAAGGGGAGAAAGCGGGGAGCAACAACCATGAATCAACGCGAGAGCCACCTATGTCGCCACAATTTCCGGGATCCCTCAATGACAGGAGAGAAAACGACCACAGGGTGATCCATAAGTCAGTCGACCGATCGTAGCCGACCCTCACAGGCCGACCTTCCCAGGCCGACCCTCACAGATCCTTGCACCGACTTTCGCAGTCACCGAGCGACTGTGAGAGTCGGTGTCGGACCATCGAAGCGACGGGCAGTCTCGATTTTGTGACGACACGACGACTCGTGGATCACCCTGTGGGTCGCAAAAAGAAGCCTTAGCGATTCTCAGGGCGATACAAACGACCCCGCTGGAATAAAGGACGGTGACGATGACTCCTCATTAGTCTCCCCCTTCCCCCCTCCCCCCCTCCCTCCCCCTCCCCCTCCCTCCCCATTCCGTATTCATACTCGGGTGGCGATGAGAGCGTGCCCCTTGTGATTTCGGGGGTGAGGGAGGGGAAAAAAACCCCAGAGCGACTTCTCGGATCACGATATCTACATCGATCCCCCGACCCAAAAGGTCTCCTAGGGGACGTTATTATTCTCGCGTTGCACTCGGTTCCCGCGTTCGTGCCATCTGACGGTCGCCGCGGATCGGCATTAATCCGATCGAATTGTCCCTGTCGGCTGACGACGATGCGGATTTCCTCGCCGGGAATACGAATGGCTTTGGCGGATCGTTTTTCTTCATTTCTCCCGTAGACTTTGGGGGGAAAGGGCTTGATGCCGAACGGATTGACTCGCGAATTTTTTTTGCGAATTTTTTTTGCATGGAGATTCGTCGACGAACGCGATCACGAATTGAAAAAACGTCGAGCGATGGATTTGTCCTTTGGCAACGGAAAGTCCTGGGAATCGCTTTCGCGGCTCAACTCGCCCAAATTTGAACATTAGAATAAGGGTATTCAACGAGAAAAAAAAACCTATTTTCCCCCGTTTTCCCGATATGGTTCATCTGATAAGCCTGTTGAGAAACTCTAAACCACGAACGGAGTCGAAGGGAAAAAAAATTATTGATCGTACAAGTATTCATTACCGTGAGAAAATAAGCCTGATGAAAGATTTACGTGGCTGCTCTTTCATGCAAATCTTCATTAATCACGACATAGAGGCCCTAAAAGCTCTGTTTACAGTATGCTGTCCAATGACCACGGTGGGATCCGCCGACGCAGACGAGAAGGCTGGGGATTTGGGGCGCTGGGTGGCCCCCACAGATCAATCGTGTTGGGATCTGGGCTTTGAAAGGCCCACGGGAAACGGGTGCATACCCTGTCGCACAAATGATGCGTGCGATGCGGAGTGGCAAGGAGCCTCGTCGGCCGGGAAAGTCCAACGTCGAACATGCTCTGACACGTTCTCGTATCGACTGTGATTTTCAGACGCGTGGATGCTTCGCAGATAGGTCCAACACCTGCAGAAAGCCTCCCGCTCTATCGCCTTCCCCGCCCCAATCCTTCCCGGCACATCACATTCCGGATGGAATATTTCACGCGGGCGCCTCCAAACACACACTTGGCCCTCACCGCTTGGCCCTCACCGCTTCAGAGTCTCTCAGACCACCGATCCGCTTCCCAGTCGCTCCCCAGGCGACGCTGGGTCGCTTGTGGGGGGTCGTGTGAGATTTTCATTTTTTTTGGTCCTCTCGGGTCGCTACAGTGGACTTCTTCAAGTGACTTTTTTACCGCTTCGCTTATCGCGGTCCGATATCGGTCGTCCCGAATGGGACTTTGATGCCGTGATACCGCCCTCTTTGTGCCTCTTAATGGTTCCGTGTACAATAGACTTTCCGTGGGATTCCAGCTGGTTCATGGATTGACTTCTCGCGCAAGTAGCTGCCGATTATGACACCTCTCCCTCGAACTCGCTGAATTCGCGTGTTATTGGCGGGCCACAGTGGGTCGATTACAATGCACCCTGGGGAATTTCTGTTTATTCATCTACCGTGCCCAGCCCAGCGCAAAATGGACGGGCCATCATTTCCCATGGACCATAATATATTGACCCGGATACTTCGGGCAAGGCAGATGACCATAACCGGGAGACCATTTAAAAGTCCACTCAAGACCCTATGCGCGTCCTGAATCCGATCTCTTTGTTTTATTTTTCGTCTCGTGACGCTGACTGCAGGTTGGACAGACCCAGACAACAGACAGTATCATCCCGAAAGCACTTGCATGCAAATGATACGAGTGGAAATTTAAAATGTATCCCGTTAGAGTTTGAAAGCACGAGGAGACGATGCAATAACTCTAATGCGATTCTCGCGACAGAAAAAAAAAAAATTAATCGCGTCAAGACGGGATTCCAGCGACAACCCTGAGTCCTCGCACGAATGCAATTCAGACTGAATCAGTCTGAATTCACGATGACGGACTCCGTCACCCCCCCCCATCGTGCAACGAAGAAGGGAGCGGCCGCAAAGCAAAAAAGCAACTGAAAGCTGCGAGCTGACGCCGGTTCAAAGCCGAATCCGGAGTGTGTCGAGACTTGGTTGTTCAGCCTGGAGTGTGTTGAGACTTGGTTGTTCAGCCTGGAGTGTGTCGAGACTTGGTTGTTCAGTCTCTAGATCGCGCTAGGTTGAGTTGTAAAATAGGGCTAAGTGAAACCACATGTTTGAGTCTGCCGAGTGCCAGGACCAGCTTCGTTCCTGGGGAACGGTCTGCCAGGGAACGGTCTGCCAGTGAACGGTCTGCCGGGTGTGCCAAACTGCCCTTTCGGGTTTCTGCGAGATGGTTTAATCCCCTCCCTTGGATTACTTATGGATCACTCGTCGTCCCGATCCGTTGTAACGGAGAATCCCGTCGTCGGAATGTTAGATAACAGATTCCAATCCGAGAGATGAAATCTCGTAAAAACGTCCGACTACATCTTCACGCCGGTACTCAAAACGAACGCAACAAAAAAGCCGGGAAATGCAGGAACAAAAACCGTCCAAGGGTTACGAGTCTCGCGTACAGACGAGGTGCGTGGCCCCGGGCGGGAGCTTCACGCCGTGACGTAACGTACTTTCATTACGTCAGCGCGAGAACAAAGATGACGCAACGGGTCGAAGGAAGAGACTTTCCTTCCTCACCCCCGAGGGCAAAGATCCCCCGAGGGCAAAGACCCACTCAATGGGGCCTCACCCCCACGCCGCGCTTCCCGTGACGTCACTCGCCCCTTCGATGTCTCGGGATGGCCTGCGTCCTCGCTCGTCGCTTGCTCGTCGAAGTCGTTTGTGGAACCGTGCACACGACACGCGGAGAGATCCGGATGGGGCTCGGATAAGCGGTCGTTCGGGAATGCGGCTCGTCCTAGCCAAATTCTCGTTTTCGCACTAGTTCGCTCCCGAGCGAGTCGATCCGCGTTCGCCGGTGTCCTTTTCCGCGAGGCGTGACGCCGACGCGAAGAGCTATCGCACGTCGCAGATGCGTAACGCTTACCTCGTCCGTGCTTACCTCCACGTTACACGTAAGCACGTATCGATTCCAACGTCATAACGCAGACGAAAGAGCAGATACTAAAGCAGATGACACAGATGCGACCAGGAACTCACATGGAGGAAGAGGAGCGCGAAGAACATGCCTTGGCCCTGGCAATGAGCCATCTGACGCACTCGCCTATCAATCTCCACATTCCCTCTCCAACCCTCCCCCCCCCCTCCCCCCCCTCCCCCCCCCGTCTTTCCAGACCGCATGCGAACTTTCTTCTCTCTCCTCCTCCTCGTCTTCCCCTTCATCTTCCGCCAATGCCAGCCCTCCTCGCCTCTCTCTCTCTCCTCTCTCTCTCTTCGCCTTGCCATCGATCTGCGGGGATGAAATCCTTTGACTGCGCCGCTGTGCCTCACACCTGCGACGATTTCGACCAATCGAGTTCTTTTGGATGGACACTAATCGTTGGATCAATTGCTTTCTGGCAATTAGTTGTGCATTAATTATGCGAGATCGGAGCAGGAATCCATCGAATATTCAAATACGACTCGTCAATGTCAATGTCAATGTCAATGTCGTCAATGTCGTCGTCGCATATTGCATCATCAAAAAAATAAACATCGATTCGGTTTTGTTTGTTTTTTTCGAACTGAAAAAAAACCGCTCGAATCGTAAAATGAGTTGAAACGAAACCGACTCACGCGTCAGCGTATCGATTACTCCTCATCGATGTTCTCAATAAATTCTCGAATTTTTTTTTTCCCACCAGGAAAAGGTGGGGGGAATCGATCCCGTGTGGTCCATTGATGGCCTCATGATGGTGCTATTCTGATTCTGGTTGGTCCAGTGGGCCCATTTCCGGTTGGTCCAGTGGGCCAATACCGTGGAGAAGGGAGCAAGGAACCACGAAATCCGAATAGGAACGCGTTTCATTCCATGAAAAAAAGGCCTGTGAAGTCCACCTCATGTCCTTTGTCAGATGTCCTTGAGACAAAACGCTGTTAAACGGCGTGAAATTCGGATCGCACTTCGCTGGGAGTCCCATGTGGTTTCCGTCCGTTTCCAACGCGTCCTCGTTGTTTCCTTGCTAGTCACTAATTTATCGCTCCACGCGCCCAAATGCGTCTCGCCCGGAAATCCGAGGAGCCCGGCAAGGGCGATCCGATTTCACCGAGGAGTCCATCGGCCCTCGTCCGTCAGGCGAGGAGCACGATGCCCTCATTATGCACGGAAAGAGCGGGGCGGAAAGTCTGCGTAATAAATCTCATTTCCGCGTAATTCCCGTACCCAACGACCCATTAGCGCCATCATCCGGTAGCTTCGCGGTTTTCCGCGTTCCGGCTTGACTAATTCAACTAACGAGACATCCAGGCCCCTCACCGTGGAAAAGAAGCCAAAGGTCTTCGAGTCCTCGCATCCGGCAGCTTCGATTCCCTTAAGGTCCATTTCTCGCACCGAAAACGAAGACGGACGCCCTACTCGAAGGCAGGGTCTTCCTTGCATCAACTCCTTTAAACACTTCTCACGCCCGTCTGCTCCGCAGCCTGACAAAAGCAACGAGAGTGAGGCAGGAATGCAGCCAAGACATTCAGTGCTCGGAGGGGGGAGAGCAGGAGGTCCCACTTGGAGAGGAGGATGGGGGGGGGGTAAGGGGGGGGGGAGGGGGGGGGGGGTGAA